TTTTTAAATCCATAAACTTTTATTTAAAACAAATAAACTTAATATATAAAGTCCATCATGTAAACAAATGATTAAAAAGTTAAAAACTGATAAGTGCTAAAAACCAACTGGCTGGGACATTAACGATTGATTGCTTGAATGGTTGATTGATTGATTGAGGCTTTAAACGAAATCGGGTTAACTGCTACATGCACTTTGTAACCTCAATTTAATATTGGCATAAACAAATATATATATCACAAGATATATATATATTTTCCACTTAATTTGTCTCGCGGGGAAAACAAAGATATCCCGCCACAAAAATGACTCAATTTTTCCAAATATTTTTATTTTTAGCCAAGACACGCGACGTTGGATAGCTTTTGTGGGATGGAGAGTAATCTGGAGGGGGAAAGGGGGATAAATAGTATACATTTAATTCATTTCACACTCGGTGACTGGCCGCATAAATCTGTCAGATACTTGTCACCTGCCTGTCGGCGCATAATTTGTTCATAATTTTACGGCCACTTCCCACTTGAGGTTGATTTTCCTGCTCGGATTCTTATACATTTTGGCTATTGACTTTTGGCTTTTGGCCAGAAATAATTTGTACGAGTATCTTGTATCTTGTATCTTTTATCTTGTATCTGTTGATTGGACATGTGTAAAAATGAAAAAGAAACAAGCCACTTGCCGATAATAGTCTAATGAAGTTAAATTTATTAAAAATTTATCTACGATTTTTTTCTTATCTAGTTAAGTGTTTAGTTTAGTTATTATTTACTTTCAAGAAACAAACAAACCCACAACCATTTCTTGCAAAATTATTCAAAAAAACAAGTATTTTAACTAGATTTTCTTTCTCCTTTCGTTTTCAATTTAAATTTTGTTGTTAGTGGATGACCTAGCCATTTTATGACTGACCTCTTGACTGTTTTTGTTTTTCTTTTGGTTATAAATTGAAATATTCAGTGATTTGTATGCCTCATGCGTGACCCGATTGATGGGCCGCAGAACTTCATCTGCCACTTTTGTTAATACACTTGAACACTTTGGATTTGCAAGGGAAAAGTTTCATCATTTCACCCCCTCCTTTTTTATAGGGAGGGGGGGTTCTAGTATTGACCTTTGTCTCGATTTGGATCGAAACGAATCGGTTGTCCTGTCATTGTTCGGCAATTTGCACGCAATTTTTGGGTGTTTTTTTTTTGGGGGGGACACATGATTGGAATTTGCAAGCAGAATTTGGCAAAAAAAAAAAGTAGAAAAGTGATACAGAACAAAGTGTTGCATAGCTTAGGGCGTTCGAACCTAATGGTTTCATTAGCAAACCAAAGTTGAAGTGACTTTTGGATAAGGATTTTGGTTAGAAATGTGTGTTTTGCTTTTGGTTTTGGGTTAAGGAAGATTTTTTGAAGAAAAATAAAATTCAAAATAAAATAAAAAATATTAAACTATTTTTTATATTAAAAATTATCATAAATTTTTTTTAAGATATTCACTATAGTTTCTTTAAAAGATTTTCAAGACAAACGATTTTCCTTAATGTATGCCTGACGTGATTTTTCCGCATTTCCCACTATTTTCCTCCATTTTCCTCCACTTTCCTGTTGCAAACAATCGAGAATGGAGGGAGAGCCGAGCCTAGTTCCTGATTTTTGGTTTTGGTTTCCATTTCAGGGCCAACCGAATCGTCCTTGATATGAAAAATCATGTCTGGGTAGGCTTGGATGGGTCAGTTAATCAGATAAACACACACACACATATGAGAGTAACTCATACATATAAGTTTATAAAAGAAAGTAAAAAAAAGTCTAAAGAAAGCGAAAAAAAATCAGGGTTGGGTTAACTTTGGTCTAATTGGCTGTGTTTTTTGGCCAAACAACTTAATTCTTTTGGCCTAAAATTACTCAAATTTTTCAAAGGACACTCATACACACACACACAAAGAGACACACACACAAAGAGACACACAGGACACATCTCACATGGACGAATCGATGACGCCTTCAAGTATGCTACAAAATGCTAATTAAAATGATTTATAGCCACTTTCGTTGTGGCCATATGTGATAGGGAGGCTGTTTGGCCTGCAATTTGAGCTTCAGCTTCCCCATCCCCCTCCCCTCTGGATCCTGTGTCCTGGCCTTAATTAATAAACAAACTTTTCCGGGATTAAAGACAACGAACCAGTAACAAACCCATAAACAGGATAAAAGCCAATTGCTCGCCATGGTTACCAGAGCTCGTTAACAAAGTCAATTAAGTCTTTTTATTTTATGCTTTTGAGGGCTTTTTTAAAATTGATTTGGCTTTAAAGTGGCTTATCTGAAGTGATTTTTGATTAGGGGTTTTTATTTCTAATTAATAAAAAATAAAAAGGGTGTGTTTAAGAAAGAGTCTTTCGAAGATATTCAAAGGTTCCATACCTAGCTAGGGTAACTTTACTTAAGAACGCTTTGAGAGAAAGGCTTTTTTATATCTTTTTCAATATAAAAGATATCTTTTATTTTATATAAAAACAATACCTTTAAAAACCTATCACTTTAACCAAAAAACTCCTCTTAACCCCGCACTAATATCATAATTCAATGCTATTTACAGACTTGGCACAACTTTTTTTTGTAAACTAATCCCAGAAAAACAAGTTTCCTTTGCCGGTCACTTGACACAAAACTGATTTCCGACAACAAAAAAAAACTGAACTGACAAAACAACAAAAAAAAGGGCAAGAAAAGTGTGAAAATCTAAAGGAAACTCTAAGGAAAAATCTCAGGATAAATTCCGAAAGAAAAACTTCAAAGCGATATCCGTTGAATGTCCAAGAATTCATATCCGTTTAATAAATGGTTTGAAAAGGGTTCAAGAAAAAATTAAATAAATAAAATATAAAAAAAAAACTAACATTTTAAAGCTAAAAATAGTCAAATAATTAAGAAAAAAATCCAATGAATGCAAAGTGCTTGTAATTAGCCAACATGTGTGTAGATTCTGGCCAAAAAAACAGCTAGGAGAGGGGGAAAGGGTGGGAATTCTTTACTGATTGAAGGGTCCACTAATAGGTGATAGGGGGAAATAGGGGGAATATTGGACCGATTGCCCATCCAATAATCCATATGAATGCGAATGTGTTGCCTGATTAATGCTCAGCTTTTGTTGCCAGAAATCTGCGCAAATGGCCAGATATATCAGCGAGGTGTTGATAGGGCCAACTATATAAATGGGCCAACCCTGGGGTCAGAGGGGTTGAGACAAAAACTAATTTGATTTTGACCAGAAATAACCAAGAATTTAAGGCCATCATGAATCATGTTGGCTGCCAAACCGGGGGAAGTCAATAAAAAATTGATTCGATTTCTTTTTTTTTTGCATTTCCAGGAAAATTAAAAGAAAACTATTCTAAAAAATAGAAAAGCTTTTTAATAAATCTAAATAAAAAAAATCCCTGGTAAATAAAATCTCTTTTCTATTACGAATATCAATCAGCTTTGCAGGATTCACTTCGATGGCCATTAATACAGCTCATTGAAGACCCCACGACTCCACCTACTTCTTAGCTAATCCTCGCTATATCCTTGCTATATCCTTGCTATATCCCTGCCGGATCTGCACCCACCACCTCCCCCTCATTTGCCCCGTAATTGTCGGTGCTTGAGGAAATTGAGAGGCAATATAACAAATACCACGCCGGCACGACACTCGGCCATATGTCAAGTCCTGGGACACGACAATTAAGCTCCTGCCTCCCTCGCAGTCCTTTGGCGGGTGTACCTTTTCTAGCTTACACTGGCAAAAATTCGAAATAAAATTTATAACACTACTCTGAGAGTTACAGATAATATTTAAAAACTATTAAGTATTCAGTATGTATTAAATGAAATGTTTAGAAATTAATATATATTTAATACATTTATAGGTGTAGTATTTTCTTCAGTGTACTTCGGTGGCTATTCCCTATTAACTGCAGCTATTTTGCAGTCTCGGACAACTGACGGCATCAATTTCGAACGCGGTCTGGTCAGTGCGGGTTGTAGTTTTTATTTTTTGTTTCTATTTCTTGGCCAAAACGACGTCATTGGCGAAAATGTAAATGTTTAGACAAGGCCCAAATTTCACAAAATTTCCCAAAAATAACAACAAAAAAATTAAGCCAAAAACCCTGGACCCTCTATGGCTCCCATGGTCGCACATGGTCTGCCCCATGGATGCAGTTCCTCATCCTGATCCCCGCTACCCCTTTTCATGTCTGACTGGAATATCTTAATATAAATATATATATATTTTTTTTGCATATTCCTCTGGCAATTAGCGGTGGGTCGGAGGGCGGGGTTCCGAGGGCGGCGCACTTAAATGTACAAAATAGTTTTATGACTTAATTTTGAGCTAATTTTTAGTATTTTCACTGCAATAAATTTGGGTTCTGTTTGGGTAATTGTTTTTATTCGTATTTATACAGTAATGTATAGAAAAGTTTGACGAAGTCTAAAATATTGTTTTTTTTTAAGAAATTAAACAAGATTTTCATTTTTCTTTAAGCTTTAAAAAAATTTGTAAGCTTAATATTAGCACTCATAAACTACAAGAATTTTAAACTCAAACTTTTATTTCTTTACTTTTCTTTAAAATCTTAAACAAAAGTTAAGTAAAATCTTCTTTACCTTTATTTCATTTATTTATTTATACTAATATATTTTCCACTAAAAAAACTCTTAATATTTTGTTGCATTTAATGAATCTACCTTGCCGATTATTTACTGTATTTCTAGGTTTTTGTTTTTCGGACTTTTCGGATCTGCCGCCAAACAATATTTCGAATGCTGGCCATTTTTCGGCAAAAATCATTTTTGCATGTTTCACGGTAGCCACAAAATTATCGCAAAAAAAAGACTGGAAAAAAAAGCATAAACCAAAACAGAAACAGAAACCGAAAGAAAGACAGAAAAAAAATAAATAATAATTAAATATTTGTTTAGTTATGTTCGGGTCTAGTGGGAAAAATGGAAACACGTTTTTACCAGGCCGCCCACGCCGCAATAAATGGACAGCGAAACGAGCAATCCGATGTGATTGAGGGCCGACTTCCATTTCACGGACTGCCACCAGGCGGGTGAGGTTTTGCCACCGCGGCCACGCCCCCCGGCTCCTCCGGCAGCGCCATCCTCGACGATCTCCACCCGACGATCCAGATGCTTGAGCTTCTCTAGCAACTCGGTGCTGGCCTCATCCTGCGAATCATATTCCTTGACGGAAACCTTTTTCACAGGCATTTTTTTCTATATTTTTTAATTTGGTTTACAATTTTATATATTTTTTTTTTATTTATAATATTAATTAATTAAATATTGAATTTTTTTTAGATTTTCTAGGGACCTAGGCCCTTTCTTTGATTGTCCAGCCTGTCCATTTTTCACAACACAATTTCTTTGGGTTTTTCGTTTGAATTTTTTCACAGACGCGCCAAACTGACCGGAAAATCGACGACGAGTCTCCCGGAAACTCTGGAGGAGAGGCCAACCGTCGAACAACAAGTCAAAGTTGCGACTAAAGGGAGCTCTTGACTTTCCGCCATTTGGATGGAAAACAAAACTTTTGGGGGGGCTGCCACTAGTTCTTGACATGTGTGGCAACATTGGCTGAAATTTTTTACAAGTTTTTTGAGGAATTTTAGTTTTTCTTTTAAAATAAAGTCTTAAAATAATAACTAGCTATGACTAGTTACTAGCTATAACTAGCTTTAACTATGAAGCATTTTAAAATCATATACTATCTCTTACAGCCTTCCTTAACTCTTAAACAAAATACAATTTAATAAAACATTAAATCAAAATGTAAAGAACCCAGAATAGTTACTTTTTTATTAACATTATCTTAATTATTTAAGATGTATTGGATTAATAATAATAGTAATTTGACAAATAAATGTTATAGAAAAACAAAAACGTAGGACATATACAAAAAAACATTGAGTTGTTAAACTTAATAATTAAATAATTATAATGACATAATGAAGTAAATAATAATAGTTGAAAATAAAACATAAGAAAGGAGAAAAATGTATGAAAATAATCTCATTTTAGAAAGACATGCAATTTTTACAATTGGCGCCAAAGCTTGTTCTTGATCTGGCAACTTTATTGAGATATGGCAACTTTGTGTAGCTTAAAGATTCAAATAAAATAAAACAGACAAAATATAATCAAAATAATATCAAAAAACAAAAAAGAGACATAATTTTTCAATACCCACCATAAAAAATTGAAACATTTTTCTCTTTTTTTGTTTGAATTTTTTTTTCTCTCTTTATACATACATACAGATTATTTTGTTTTTCATTAATACATCAAATTTACATCTAATTTAAGGTGTTTTTACTTGAGTTTTTGATTTCAAATCTCTCTTCTTTTGAAAATCAAAGTATATATTGAAAAAAAACGGATTTTAAACGCTTAAATTTAAACAAATGAACATTTTGAATTTCTTAGAATATGTAAGTAATATAACCAACTTTCTTCTTAAGCAACTTAAACAATAGACATATATGTAACTTCTCTTCTAACACACTCTTTTTCTTTTATATTATTTATATATATATATATAAAGATATACATTTATATATATTTTAGTTTTTATTCTGACTTTTGACTTAACTAACGCATCAATTTTACGAAGAATTGTAAACTAGGTAGCGTGTGCCCATGAGTTCTTTTCTTGTTTCCATGTATTCCTGTCCAGTAAGCCGACTAGAAGTGGCTCCAAAAAAAAATCTTAACTTATTTTCGAAAAAAAAAAAAATTGTTTCAAATATATATATGAATATATATATATATATCAAGTATAGTTTCATGAGAAATGATATATTTCGGGGGCTGAGTCTTAATGATTATGTTTTTCAAATAAAAAATAAATGACTTTTTTCTTAAATTTTAGAAAGGAATCTACCGAGATATTCGTCACCTTGCGTTGTGTGTTGCCCCAGTATTTGTGTATCTGAGACTATGTGTGTGGATGAGTGAGTGGGTGTATCTATAGCTGTGGCTGATTCATGTAATCCTAGGATTCTAACGCCGTCATAATGTCGTCCAAGGCGCCCCTGGAGATGGCATGACGGCTAGAGTTTAGTTGGAAGTCGGGTTCTGAAAGGTAAACCATTACAAATTTTTAGATAATCTATATCTTAAAGAACTTATTGAACTATAAAACTATTAATATAGAAGGTCAAAAGGTCAGTAAATGGACAAACACAATCACAACTACATAGCACAGAAAGCATAACATGTATAAACGAAATAAAATGTTTGGAAACAACCCTTTTTTTTTATTTTTGCTCAACTCTCTTGCAATACGTCCTCCTGGTCGACACGGATAAACTCACCGACTAAATCGTCGAGCACCTCGTCATCCAGAGTGGGCATCGGCTCGATGGAGGAGTAGAATTGCGACGAAATGGCGGCGGCACTGTTGGTATCGGTGGACTCACTGCCGTTTAATACACTGGACTCATCTGTGGGCGGAATCAAATCGGTTGGGATTATAGCACCCACACCACTGGGTGCCTCCCCCAGTGTGGCCTCTAAGGCTTCTACCACATTACTGGCATCGCCACTGGGTATTTTCTCATTACTTGCCGATTTGAAACTGCAATCGGAATCGGGTGATGCGATGCGCTGGAGCAGCTCCTTCGTCGTCTCCTCAACGGTCAGCTCCTTGGTCGGCGGTGTATTGGGGCGGGAGGTGGGCGTCTGCAGTTGCCGGACGTCGTCCACATTGGTCTGCAGTTCCAGGACATCGTCGACATCATCGGCATCGTCGCTTGTGGCCAACGAATTCAATTGCTTTCCATCCTTATCCTCTACATCAGTTTCGGCATCTTTGTCATGTTTGGTTTCCTCAGCTTGCTCCTCTAATTCAACCTCTTTGGGCTGGACGAGGCCGGCCACATCCTGGCTTACCTCCGGGACGGGCACAGGGCTCTCGTTGAGCTGTGATGCGTTGGGTGTCTCACTGGAGCTTTCCTTGGCATTGTTATCTTCATGGATTGGTTCTGTTTTTTCATCTTCCTTGGGGGATACTTCCTCTGTATTTGGATTCTCTTTCGGTTTATCTTCCGAATCTACTACTGTCTGAACTCCTTCGTTTTGTATCTCCTTTTCGTCTTTTTTGGGGGAATCCTTTGACTTATTTGGACTCTTCTCCTTATCCTGATCCTTCTTTATCTCCTTATCCTGATCTTTCTTTTTCTCTAATTTCTTTTCTTTGAGCTTTTTGGTGGCATTGTCCTTCTTGGAGGTGTCCTTTAACTTTTTAATGACTGGCTTCTCGTCCTCGTCGTCGTCGCTGACTGTCGTGGTGAAGGATATCTTCTTTTTTTTGGCAGGAGGTGTGCCAGATCGCTGCACGCCAGGCAACTCGTTGGGAACTAAAAAAAAAAAGCCCAGATTTTAGTTACAATTACAGGAAATTTGTTATATCTTCTGACCTATATACTCTGCATCTTCATCCTCGCCGGTTTTGGAATCATCATCCAATCGCAGGCTGGCCAAATCGGCCAAAGGTAGGCGCTGCATCGGCCTCTTCAGGCGCGAGCCATTGCAGGATCGTCGATTGCGGTTTCCTAGTGGCGGCGCCGAGTTCGGTGCCACGAATAGCGACGAGGAACTCAGCGCTATGTCCTCCAGGACATTACCCCGGTCATCGACGCGCTGCAGACGTGTCGGTTCCGGCGTTTTCGGTGACGAAAGGTGACTGGAGCTGAGTGTGGCGCGCCGTGAATTGCTTTCGTTACTGCCCAGAATCTCGACGGCTTCGCTGAAGGAAACGGACAGATTCGACTTCCGGGGTCGTCCCTTCTTGGAACCACCGCCCAAGAATGAAGAACCACTGCCGCCATAAGTCCTGGTCGGCGACACTGCTGGTAACTGAGTGCGCTTCACCTTCACCACACACCCAAAGAATCGGGCGCCGAATGTGTTGATCAGATCCTGGCTGGTGTTGATAGTTGCCTTTGGCTTCCCTTTGGTCTGGAGCTTGGGTTTCTTCGGCAATGAGCTGGGGGGCGGGGTGTGGGTGCGGGCTAGAGCCTGATAAGGTCGCTTCTTAGATCCATTCTGCAGCAAAGGAACTTTAATGTGTATCTTGGCCTGATTCTGAGACTTTTGTTTCTTGACCGGCGACGGAGTTCGGGTCTTCTTTTGAGTGGTGGCTTCCCCCTGATTACTGCGACGCGGTCGTCCACGTTTCTTGCTAATCACCGTGGCGGTGGACACTGAACGGGCGGCACTGTTTATCTCCTTGGTGGTCAGGCGACGCACCCGGACATGGCACTCCTTGTCGAAGCTCAGGGAGGCAGACGACTCGTTGTCACTGAACATCTTTTGCTGCGCCTTGGTTTTAGTTGGAATCAGATTGATGGATTGATCCTCATCGTCCTCGTCTTGGTTATCCTTATCCTGGTTCAGGGGCAGCTTGTCGTCATCTTCCTTTAGCTTTTTTGTTGGGGAAGGAGCGGACTCGACTTCATCAATGGCTGGGCTCTGTTTTTTCGGAGATTCCTTTTGGTTTAGTGACTTGTCATCCCAATCCTTATCTACTTGGATGTCCTCCTGGCCATCGTCTTCACTGGGCTTTGATTTTGGAACTGTTTCGGGAAGTTTCAAGGGCGACTCGTCGTCCTTTTTGTTCTCTTCACCTTCCCCTTCCATCAGATCCTCTTCCTTCTTGGCTTCAAGATCGCCAATCTTCAGATCATCCTCAGGTTCTGTTTGGAAAAGAAGAGTTTTATTATTTTTGAATTTAAATTTTGGGAAAAATAAAATTTTATTTTTTTTACCGAATATAAGATCTTTCATTTTAGTCATTTGAAACTTTTTGAAATATATTAGTAGACTACTGAGTTTGGTTTGGGAATTTTGAATATGTTTCGGTACAGATGATAGGTCCTTTCTGATTGAAGTTCAGTTTTAAACTAAGGTATGGGTATGTTTTTCAAACTGAGCTTAAAATCATGACAACCTTCGGTCATTAAACGGTTGCTTTTAAATAATAGAATTAAAGAATAGATTAGTACATTAAATAAATAATAGAATTAAACAGAAATAAAGCAAAATATGTAAAAGGTTATAATAATCAAAGGATATATCAATTTTTAGGAGGAAAAATATATTAAAATGATTAAAAAAATTAATAACTAAATATTCTACTTAATTTATATTAATTTAAGGGTCTAAAATATGACGTACTACAAGATTTTTTTAGTTAAAAGTTATTAATTATGAAATAATAATACAAAAAATGAGAAATAATTTTCCCATTTACAATTTTTGAATACAATATTAAAGCTAATGATATTATTAAGCAAATAAAAGCAATTAAAAAAGATAATTATTAAAAAATCAAAAGAAAAATATAGGAATTCCATTAATCTATCATTTCAAGGCCATATAATAAATACAATTAAGGGGAAACTGTAAAAAATCATTGAAAGATGTCGGAGATAAGACCAAAATTATGAAATAGAACCAATATGGAATGATTCATTCAAAAATAACAATTGAAATATAAAATCTAAAGATTAAAAAAACAAAAAGTGAGCTTATAATTCTCGGAATATTCTTATTCTGGTAGTTCTTAGAATTCTTATTATTCTCCCGCTTTGTGTGCCTGAACTACAAGCCATTGTTGGCGCCACTTTTGTGACCGCTGCTGTGGTGCTGATAGCGGCAGGGCTTCAACACACTCGCATTTACCTATCGCCTCCGGCGGTGAGTCCGGCGGTATGGGGGACGGAGTCGATGACTTGGGCTCCGCCAGACTGATCCGTTGCGGTGGCGGAGCCGCCTTGACCATGTCGAACAGCTCCATGTTAATTGGCAAATCCGGTTAAACGGAAAATCCGGCTGCCGCTGCTACCACTCTACTCAATGGCCCGCTATTGAAGAGGTTTTCCCACTAAAAAAAAAAAAAACCGGAGCACGCAGAATCCTCGCGCGTTAAATCTGCAACCAAATGCATTTCGATTAAAATAATTGAATTATGGTTTATTATGCCGTCCATTACCTGGCAGCGTGTGGCGGGTATTTTGGCCAACGGGCAAACGTTTATCGTTCGCCAATTCAATTTTCATTCAACAAAATTGCACCAGCACCAAAAATTTTAAAGAGACATCGACGCCAACACTCACACACACACGCGCACGCATACAAACAAAAACAGCAAATCGCCCGTCTAGTATTGGGCAGCGAATTTTTTCGCGCTAAATGCTGGCTACCGGTGGGTGTTTGCAAACACTGATTGGGTATCGTCTTAAAATGGTCTGGCAACATTATATATTTTTTTTTTATTTAAACTTTTTTAAGTTTAAAGTTCATTAATTTGAAATTATAATAAGGTTTTTTTATAAATTTAAATTAAAAAAAAACTTGATAAAAAAAATTGGATCTTAAATAAAATATTTTGTAATTAAATAATTTATTAATAAAGTATGTATTTAAGAGGCTGATTTAAAACATAAGTTTAACAAATAATTTATCATTAATTATTAAAGGATTTAAATAAAGCATCCTAAGGCATGCAGTTCATCACCTACCTGGATTATCGACCACACTGCCTTATATGAATTATATACAGAAATCATAAAACATAAAACAGTGCTTGAAAATTATTTAAAAAATTTTTTAAAAATAGTTTAAAAAGAAAATTCAAAAATAAAAAGTTAAAGTTTCAAAAAATCTTAAAACTATATCTCTAATATACCTTTCAAAGTTCCACAAACCCTTCCAATTTCCATTTCCTCCCATTTTCAAACCCAAAAAAATTTGAAAAATCATAGATTTTGTTAATTTTCATTTAATATTTAACCAAATGATTATTTTGGTCTCAACAGCTTTTTCTTACAAAATTTTTCATACGTATTATTATTATTATTTAGAATCATAAAACTGAAAATAAGGAAAGGGCATCAAAATCAAGGATATGTTTCTCCTTCCCAAAGCCTCAATTTTCCGCCTGAAACACAGATTGGGGTTTTTTCCAATTTTTTCTAAATCTTTTTCAATGGTTTTTCTTTTTTTGTTTTATTCAGGGGATGGTGGCATTTGGATTTTGGATTAATAAAAATAATCAAAATAAATACGTGGCATTTTTGTACAATTAGTTTTTTTGTTTATGTTTGTTTTTTTTTTGTTTGTTTAGCGTTTTTATGTCGTTTTTTTTTTTTATTACAGGCTAGCTTTAAGTAGGTTAACATTTTAAAAAGGACTAGCACAAGGAGTAATCCTTTCGGCTCAGCGTATGTATATATAAATATTGCGTATTTGTATATAGGTAATTATGTATTACATATAGCGCGTGTGTGTGTGGGTGTGTATATATAAAATAATATATATATTTATAATTTATAAGGTTTTCTCGTAATAGAGTGTGTGTGTGTTTGGGAGGGGGGGGCGAATACTTGGCGTTTGTTGGAGTTTGTTAGCTAATTAGTTAAGGGCGGGAGCAAGTGAGCTAATAAAAAAATATGTATATATTAATTATACAAAACAATTAAATACAATTTTTATAAAAAGTACAAACATGTTGTAATTTGATTGGGTTTTCTCTCTCTTTCTCTCTTGATACGATTTTTTGTAATTTTTTTTTTTTTAAGATGTTTGTAAAAATTTACTTTTTTGTCATGATTTTTTTTTTAAGAGGCTATTGCTCTGTCACGGCAATAGCCCTATCCCCTCCCCCTAAAGCCATCTTTCCTAGTTTTTTTTCGTTTTTTTTTTTTAAATGAGCTCTTTGTTCCTAACTTTAGAATTATTTTTTTAAAATAATTTCTCAATTCTTCTCAGACAACCAACAAAAAAGAACTCTACACATGCACAATATTTCCCAAAAAAAAAGAGAGAATTCGTTAAAAAAAAATCATTAAAAAATTCTAAAAAAAGAAGCAACTTAATCGTTTAAGATGCTTGAATTATAAAGAAGAATCCCTTTGAAAACTCTAGTGATTTTAGAATTAAATGGCTCTCCGCTTTTCCGCTCTACACTTAAAATTATAAATACACCTTGAAGGCGCTCCAGCCGTGGAAGCATTTGGTGAATCGACGCGACTCCTTGTTCTTCATCGTCAGGAAGAGTTTGCGCGGCCGTTCCGGTTGCTTGATCCGCATATGCTGGATGTACACCTGGGCGGACTTGTAGGCCAGCTTCACCTCCACCTCGCTGCAGCGTGGTCCCATCCAGAGGAAGACGTGCTCGCCATTGTCCAGGATCATGATGTCGTCATCGGCGAGATCATCCTGACAAAAATCGGCGCACTTCTCGGCCACCGTATAGTATCCTCGCTCGTTGGAGCATCGGAACAGACGTGTATACTCCATGTACTCGGCGTCTGTATCGTATGGTTTCCGTCCTCCAAGAGCCACCCAGAAGAAGTTTTCGGGTTCGTCGCCTTCGTTGAGTATCTGAAAGAGATTTTAGGAGTGGATTCTATATATCTCCTTAATGATATATCAGATTACTAACCTGCAGGCTCACCCAGGGTGAGTTGAACATATCCTCGGCTATTTCCTGGATCAGCTTGGCCTCCTCGTTGCAGGATTTGTTGCCAATCCAGACGTACACTATCCCTGACTGTGAATCGTCCTCCGTTTCAAATGGCACATGGAGTATATAGCTATAAATAATAAGCAATAATAATCAATGATATATATATATCTTTATCTTTAAAGATATTATCAATAAAATGTTGAAGAATTCTATAAGATATGGCTTTGATAAGATAAAAGAAGGAAGTTCTTAAAGGCATGACTTGTTTTTTAAAAATATATGGGCTTATAGAGCTTAAACCCTTAAGGGGTTACTTCAAGGTAAAATTATAAATAATAGTTTCTAAAAATATAATATTTAAGCAATATTCTCTAAAAATTTAAGACAAATTGGAGCATTATTCAAAGAGATATAGAATATTATAGAGAGTCCTATAAACCGAAATAATACTGACTGGAAATAGTCCCTATATCTATAAACTCCTTCCCTATAACCAGGAAACCCCTTCACAAATCATTCTGAAATTTAAACCACTTATTTTTTATAAAATTTTTAATATTAAATAATAATAATAACTAAAAATGCCCCTTTTTTTAAGACCAGAATAAAAAAAAAATAAAATATTTAACTTTTAAGATCAATTACTATCTCAAGTATAGTATCTAAGCTTCCAAACTAGAACTAAAGCCTAGAATCTAATACCCACCAAAAGGCCGAGTTAAGATGCACTGCATCCGGATTAATCTGGATGAGGCGTGTGGTGAGTGCTCCACCGTTCGAACGCAAATGGAAGAACTCCACCGGCGCCTTCCCATCCGCGGTCAGAGCCTTGTCCTTCCGCTTGCCGGTGTGTATGATGAACTTGCGCTTGAAATGGGACATGAACTTGAGGTTCTCCTGCTGCTGGAAGATCCGAACCACCTCCAGCTCCTCGCCGAACATGGCCTTAAACTTTTTCTGCAGCGTAAAGGTGAAGGTGAGCCAACCCATATTGCCGGCATTGCGTCCCTGCCAGAAATAGACGACGCACTGAATCTCATCCTCGGGCTGGTTGTTGGACGCCTTGCTGTCGTCCTGCCCCTCCTCGGCACCGTTCTCCGGCTCCTCCACGGGTATGCAGTAGCGGCACAGGAACACATAGCACTCGCCGGTGTAGAAATGGCCCAACTCCTCGGCCGGCAGGCGAACAAATTTCTTGTTCTCGAGCACAAACGGATCCATGTTCTCCAGATCGTAGTTCCACTCCTCTTCCAGCTGCTCGGCCTCCGCGAGGGGCATGGCCGCCTGGCGGGGCATGAAGAGGGCGGCCAGATCTGTGCGGGTCTCCTGCTTCTTGGCCCACTGGGTGAGATTGGCGCCCGTCTTGGCCACCGACTTGGCCGTTCGCGTAAAGTCCACGGCCATCACCTCGTCCCAGCCGGCGAACTTTGTGCGGAAGATCTGCATCTCGTTGCCCTCCGGAACGCGCATCACCAGAGCACACTCCGGTCGCTCCATCATGTTGAACAGCTCCCGGCTCAGCTTCACGGCAGCGGCGCGCACCAATCTCGTGGATTTCTTGCCGAACCACACGAACAGGTCCGTGCAGCAGTCCAGGATGTAGACGTGCTTGCTGTTCAGCAGGGTGTGGCAGAGCTTCTGGTCGGGCAGCTCCACCTGCGGCAGTTCCAAGTAGCCCATTCCCAGCTGAACCTGGTAGAGGCGCGGCTGCACCGGCTGGTAGTCGTCGGGCCAATGCTCCTTGGGCTCCTCCAGCTCCGCCACCTCCTCGGGCGTCAGGTCGAAGCCCTGCCAGAACTCGGGACTCTCCTCGCCCTGCCGTTCCACCACGATTTCGCACTTGTTCTTCCGCTCCATCTTACTGATCTTCTCCGCCATCAGGCGGGCCTTGGAGTTGAGGGTGTTCTTCGACTTCTTCCCCAGCCAAATGTAGATGGTGGTGCCCATGTCCAGGACGAGAGCATGCCGGGGATCCAGGGAGCTGGGCGACAAGGTAACCGGTTCCAGGTGGACAGTGGCCCCGTAGGCATGCACCAGATACAAGCGGGTTATGTGAATCATCTCCTCGATCGTGTAGAAACCGGTGGCAGTGCGTCCGCCCTCGATGTAGATGACCTCCGTGTCGAAGAGGGCCAGGAACTCCTCGGATTCGTCGCCCTGCTCCTCGCGAATGGTGCGACACCGGGCGCCCAGATAGTTCCTCAGGTTCACAGCATGGATCGCCGCACAGGCCCGCTTGTCCAGCGTGGCCTCGTTGCCGATCCAGAAGTAGATCTCCCAGGTGAGGGTCCCAAGGTCGTCGAACTTGGTCTTCAGCACGATGTAGCAGTCGCCCTCGTAGAACTTGCCGTGCACCACCTCCTCGATCTTGTTGGGCAGAAAGTTCTCGATCTCCCAAATCGTCAGACCCGGCTGCTGGCCGTCCTCCTTCTCAAAGAACTTGGAGTAGTCCAGCTGGGGCTTCTCCAGCGATTCGTCCCAGCGTTTCGGCTTCAGAGACTCCGGCTTGCCGGTCTCATCGGCCAGTTCGTTCTCCTTGTCCTTGGCCACGTCCTTCATGCCCTTAAGCACCTTGGCAGCGTCCTGGTCACCGCCCTCGGGCCGGAGACCGCGACGTAATCGTATCTTACGGGCCGTGGAGTCCTTGGGCGTGACGGCAGCGGGAATGGAGGCGGGAACGGCGGCGCCGGCTAACCTCAACTGGGTCTGCAGGCTGAAATCGATGTTGTAGAACTCCAGGCTGGTGGCCTTGCTCGATTCGCTCGGCTTGGGCGGCATTATAAGGTCGGGATTGTTGCGCAAGTCAAGCTGATCGAGTCCCTCCAGCAGGTGTATGGCATCGGGCAGCGTGATCAGTCGGTTGAAGCTCAGGTTTAGCTGCTTGAGAGCACCACATCGGCACAGGCCCTCGGGCACCATTTCTAGGAGATTGTTCGCCGCCGAAAAGACCTCCAGAGCACCCAGTTTCCCAATCCCTGACGGTATGCCGTCAAAGTTCAGCTTGTTGTCGTTGACGAGCAATCGACGGAGCTTTGGCAACTTGCAGAGGGCGGCGGGCAGGGTCGTTAGCTGATTCCGGGAGAGATTCAACGATTCCAGGCGCTGCCACTGCTCCACGCTGGCGCTCAGCTCGTTGATGGCATTATCACTCAGATTCAGACGCACCAGGGTCACCACATTGTAGACGACATCCGGCAGCTTGGGCAGGGAATTGTGCGACAGATCCAGCTCGACCAGATTGGCCAACGTGTCGAGGCTGGTGGGGAAATTCAGGAGCGTTCTCTGTGTGCCGCTCATGTTGAGAACCTCGAGGCTTTGCAGTGACGGCAGCTGTCGGAGCTGGAACAGCTCCAGGGGATTGTGCGACAGATCCAGAGTCTTCAGATTGATCAGCCTCCTGGTCTGGGGCGGCAGTGTCTCCAGGCGATTGTGCGACAGATCCAGAAATATCAGATCCGTGAGGTGAATGAAAAGCGGCGTGGGTATACTCTCGATGACATTATGGCTGAGATTGAGGACGATCAGATTCTTGGCCTTCTCCAAGCCCTCCGGCACCTCCTTCAGCTTGTTGTGCGACAGGTCCAAAGTGGTCAGCTCCTCCAGATGGAACAGTTCCGGCGGTATACCGCTGTTCTTCAACTGATTGTGCCGCAGATCCAAGGAACGCAGGCATGTTAGCTCTGTCAGCTCACCAAAGATCTTCTCCAGTCGATTGTGGTTCAGGGATAGATGCTCCAGCTTTTGCAGGTGGCCCAGCTCTTCGGGTATCTCCGCCAGCTGGGTGCGATCCAGATTGAGCCACTGCACCCGCGACATTTGCCGCATACTGCTGGGGAATGTTTTCTGCACAAAATAACCCAAAAATGCACACACACATTATGACTAATACCCCGGGATGACCTGTTTCCATTTGTACGGCCTGTTTCTGGCCGACGATACTTACGCTAAAATCATTTTTGGTAAAATCCACACCGCGTACAAACGGCAGCACACTCATTGTGGGATCTAACTACATAAAACTGTTATCATTCGGGCACACGCCGACACACCAAAATAAGCGCTTTTAGCTGCTTGGCCCTCTTTTTTTTTTGATTCGTTTCTTTTTTCTTTTTTTTGTTATTTTGCTCGCTATTCCTATTTGCACTGAAAAAAAAAATTGCGCTCTTTGCGAGCGATGACCGTTCGTCACATTGCCATACAAATGCTCACGTATTTGTTGGCCACTTTGTAGGTGGGATTAGCCTCTGGTCACACTAATCGCACACTGGGCCAGCTGTGTTGTTAACCAACACTAAAAGTGTTGCAAAGCAAGTCGTTAACAGTGATGACGAATTGTTTTCGTTTAATTTTTACTTGAAAATAAGATTATTACTAAAAATAAATATTTAGGAAGGTTAAAAAAATGATTCAAACTTTTTTTTATGTTTTAGTATTATTTTTATTCTTATGGTTCTTGGTATTTTATTTATATTGTCTATACTGTAAGGTATTATGAAACTTTTAGCCATCACTGTTTAATAATAGCTCTTCATTTATGAACCGTTTTTAATTTTAACAGTTAATTTGATTAATTTAAGTCTTTTAGCGTCGTTATTATTAAAAAATACAATTTTTTATCTTATAATATAGCTGTCCAAAGAATAACTACTACTTCTTGAAGTTTAAAATTTTTCTTTAATTGAAAAAAAGAGTCTTGAAATCAACATAAAAATATTCTTATTATTATTTTTTGTGCTTTGTTTTCTACAAATTTTAATTTCATTAAAGTTAATGTTATAAATTTTATTTTTTTCAGAGTTTTAGCATATGTTTTTTAACTGAAATATATTATACAATTTTTATGCGTTTGATTCTTATAGAATTTTCGTTTGAAAATAGGATTAAAAACCTTGATTTGAATTGAGGTAAACTAGTTTTTCTCAATAATACCTTAATCCGTAAATAAAAACTATGTTTAAATACGAACAAATTCAAATATTTTAATATTTTAAAAAGAAAAACCTTTATATATGAACAGTTATGAATTTTAACAGTTAATTAGATTAATTTAAGTCTTTTAATGCCGTTATTATTTGAAAATACAATTATCTATCATATAATATAGCTGTTTAAAGAACAACAACTTCTTTACAACTTGAAAAAAAAGTTTTAAAAATTGTACAATTTATTTTTTTTTTTATAAAATCTTAATCCATATATAAAAAATAAGTTTTAATAAGAAAAAATTCAAATATTCAAATATTTTTAAGGGAAAAAACTAACATTTTAGTAAAAAGAGAGCTTTAAACCGTAAAAAGGACATTCAGTGGTGTAGCAAGTTTGGTCACACTAAGTGCCCGGTATCCTGCGCGCATGATCCTGCGCCCACTGTTCGGGACACAAAAAAAATCTGAAAAAAAAAAATAACGAACCCTGTGTGCATAATCCAGAGGGTGTGACCAAATCGAACGACGCGAAATTTTCATACTTTGCCCAGTCTTCGGAATGTGAAGGTCCTGCTCGTGTGTTGTGTTGCCTTTTTAAAATTGCAAAAACAAAAAAACTAGCTCACTCAAAAATACAAAAAAAGAAAGACTTATTTTCGAAACAAATGGTTTAAATGAGAAGCAAGAAGCGCGAAAAACCACAAAAACAGCCCCAGAGATGAAAGATTAAGAAAAGCTTATCAAATTAAGAGTGCAACAAAAAGTAATAGTTCCGTGTATTCTCTTTGTTTGTTGTACAACGATTCTGTTTTGGTGTCTTCCTTGTGCGGCTGTCTCTATGTGTGTGTGTGTACGGCCGGAAAAAAATCAAATTCTTAATTAAAATTATGATAATATTTTAAAATCAAATTGGCGAATTTAATTTATGCGTATTCGTATTCGTATTCGTGTGTGTGTGTGTTATTGTTGCACTAGTAGTAGTGTGTGGAAGAGGGATGGGGCGAACTACTGCAGTTCCTTTTAGGGCAGGAGATGGAGGTTGGAGCAAGATGGGCTACGGATGGGGGGCGTGGTGGGCGGAAAGTGGGCGCAGCAATTACGAGAGACTGCCAAAAAGGAATAAGGAAGCTATAGCAGGAGCAGAAGCAGAGCAAATTTTAATCAATAGATATACAAACACATGCGCATCACAGGGACAAAGAGAGCAAGCACAAGAGAGAGTGAGATTTAGAGAGAGAGAGCGCGAGAGCGAGTGTGCCGAGAGAGACCAACGAGAGAGCACTCCTTCGCCTGTTACCGTTACTCGCTTAGTCCCCGCGTGTACCGTGTGTTTGTTGTTTGTGCGCTGCGTGTTGTTGCACTAAGCGAAGAGGCAGGAAGAGGAAGACAAGTGAACAGTTATTGCGCTGGGCAGAAGCAGCATCCGCATTCAGCATCAATAAAAACCAAAATCTGAGACAAATAACAACACTCACGCCCAAAAAAAAGTAACTCGTTAGTTATTTTACAAATCACAGCAATTCCACGGATAAAGCAGAGCTACCTACGCATTCAACCGTTATTATTGTTTAATTAAAAATTAAAGTGCCCCAAAAATGTGGGGGCGGCTGCTGGCAACCTACTTATTGAGCAATTAAGGCCATGCCCACGCATGCACGCCCACATATGGGTACATACGTGTGTGTGTGTGTGTTTGCGAGAGAGTGCTGTTGTGTGTGTGTGGGGCTTTGGAGATCGCAAAAAAGGAAAATAAGAAAAAGAAATAAAATATAAAAATATTAAAATAATAAATATATTTAAATTAATATTTTGAAAGTATAAGAATGTCCTTAGAAAAAAAAGAGAGCTCCTTTCTTTGCCCCCAAAAAGTATGCTAAGATATTTCTGGGTCGGGTACTTGCACTTTTAACCTGCTGAGCTGGCAGAAATTAATTACGGTTACGATAACCGTTATACGAACGATACTCAATATGATTTTAACCCTTTTTGTGTCTTGTTTTTTTTGTATCCTTTGGTTGGCAGTGCACGGCAATTTGGATTTGGTGTCAAGAGGTTAAGGAAGAAACTTTCAGGCCCGTGAGCACGTAGCTGGAACAAAATCCCCAAACCCAAGTTAGCAGCAAGAGGGAACAAAACGCCGGGGGACGCCCACGCGCCGATAAAAGCCAACGCGAAGGGGAGAAGGAAGAAGGAAAAGGAGGAGAAGTAGTAGCGAAAGCGGAAGCGGCGAGGATACCAGGCGAGGATGGGCGACTATCACGAGTTCACGGACCAGTACAAGGTGCCGGTGATAGCCAAGCTGCTCCACGCCCTGCCCCACTACAATATTACCTTTCACAAGATCAACAGCACCTTTCGACCCAACGATGAGATCTATTTGGAGGTAAAGACCCCATAGGGGTTAAAGGAAATATATATATGTGTATTTTTAAGCCTTTACTTTAAAAAATGTATTATTTTTTTAAGTATTTTGTTAAAAAGTTACTATTTTAAGTCCCTACTTCTTAAAAATTTATAATTTTTGAAGTCGCATACATTGTAATTAAGGAAATAACCCATGATCTGAATGCTTACGTTGTGAGTTTTCATTAAAGTTTATAGATTTGTTGTTTTAAAAATATAAAAAAACAAAAACAAGCTTAAAATTATTTAAAAAACCCCAAAAAATAAAAAATATTATAAAACTTCTTCTAAAAATGTAAAATTTTCAAGTCACTTACCTGGTAATCAATGAATTCTTGTATGATTCTCATCATCTCTTCCTTTACCCCACAGAGTCTGGGCATTTTGGGCTCGGTTCCGGCTGCTCTGCTTATTGTCTCCCTGCTGGGACTGCTCTTCTATCTGATGACCCGATGCTGTGACCGAAAACCACGTCCGGCCCATTCCATTACCAGCCTGAAGGTAGCTCTCTCGATCGTCACCGTCATGTGCTGTGCTGCGATCGGCTTGGGACTGTATGGAAACGATGATCTGCACAATGGACTATTGGAGGTATTGACGGCGGGCAGGAAGGTGGATAATCTGGTGACCACAATCCGGAATCAGACGCACATCCTTGAGAATACGCTGACGAATCGCATCCGGCCGCAGTTGGTGGAACTGGCGGATATCTTTGACCAGCCGGTTTCCAATCAGACCGCCCTCTCCAAGCTCTTCGTATCGCTGAATATTGTCCAGGGTAATGTTACGCTGGCTACCAATGCGGCATCCGACATCCGACGGCCACTCATGAGCATCTCCATGACACACTTCTTAACGGTAAGGGATTATCTTTATCCTTTTTTGGATTCCGTATCGTAACTCTTTCCATTGCAGCGCGGTGATCAGTGGGAGTTAATCCGCTGGCCGGGAACGGTGGCTACTCTGGCTCTGCTACTTGTCCTCTGTGCCGTGCTGCTGGTGGGCGTGGCCCGGCACTCGAGATGTGCCCTCATCCTATTCAGCGTTTGCGGTTTGCTGGCCGTAACCGGATCCTGGCTAATGTCTGGCTTGTATCTCTCCTCCTCGGTGGCCGTCGGGGATTTGTGCATCTCTCCAGCCGACTTTCTGGTCTCCACTGCCCCCCGGGATCTGCCCACCAACGTCCTGCTCCACTACACTCAATGCGAACCGGGACACACGAATCCGTTTACCCAACGCCTCCGGGAATCACAAAACTCGCTGAACAACGCCCGCAGTGCCATGGCCACCGTTATGAAGATATCCCTGGTGCTGTTCAAGTCTTCCGGCCTCCAGCCGAAACTGGGAGCTGTCAATGCCGATCTCAATAGCAGTGAACGCCTGCTCACCCAACTGACTGCTCTGGTGGACTGTAAGGCGGTGCATCATAATTTCCTGGCCGCTGCCCGAGGACTTTGTGAGGGCGGACTACTGGGATTGGTCCTGATGCTGATTGCCAGCTTCATAGCTGCCATACTCCTGACGATTATGGTGTGGGTGGACTCGCACACGTGGATATATATCAGGAAGCGAAATGACTACGCCCAGGTGGACGAACCATCCTATATTTCACATCCGGCTCCGCAGAATCATCAGCAAATGATGAATGCAGCCAGGACGCTGCCAAGGAACCATAATGGGTATGTTTGTGAAGAACCCCCGTAGCCAGGGTTGTCAAAAAAAAAAAAAAAAAAATTGGAAATTCGAAAAAGGGAAAAAATTATACCATTTTCATCTAAATATTTTTGATTTTTGGAAATATTGGTTTGAAAATATGTCTGTTTCCGATCGTAGAGATCTTTTGCGAAAAGGATATAGCTAGGATATAGCTAATGGATTTATCTTCTTGATTTGAAGAGTAAATATTTGAAATATTTACCCTCCAACCTCCAAAATTTTTTTGAAAATATTTTGAAAAAAATAATTTTTGACAACCCATTCTCCCATGCGACCCGCCCCTCTCCGATTCCCGCCTCCATTCTCTCGCTCTTTCTCTCTTTCTCTGCTCTCTCTCGTCCCGTTGTTGTTCTTTATTATTTTTTGGGGTTTTATTTCTGGGGGGGGGCCTTTGTTTTCTTTACTTTTTTTTTGGTTATAATCTAATTTGCAGGCACTTCAGCCCACCGGTGATCAGTGGATCGCACACCCTGCAACATCCCAGCAAGCGGCAGCAGCACGAGATGATGGCCCACGCCCACATCCAGCAGAACATGCGCGCCATGGGCACCCACACGCTGGGCAGGCTGCCCTCGCACAACCACAGCCCCACCCACATGACCGGTAAGTGCCTGGACATCGAAACCCAAAAACCACACACATCTCATTCTTGACGACCCACATGCCCATTGTCTCCAAGGACTGAGAAAAAATGTTAAAGATTGTTATATTATTGCTAAAATTCTAGTTGAAAATTGTATTTATTTTTTGAAAAATATTTATAAATCTTTATATATTTTATAGTTATATTTTTGATATAAACATTTTTTCTCAGTGCTTGTTTACCATCTTTTTATATCAATGTACATGAATTTCCATATGTAGGAAGTAGGAGACCTCTGTAAGCATAAGAGATCGAATTGAGCTGGGGATTTCGAATTGGATTTTTCAAAAGAATGTTTTTTAAATTAATTTTTGTTTAAAAATGGTGTTTTTGTTTTAGTTTTGGTTTAAAAAAATATTTTAAATATTATAGAAATTCTTAAAATCTTCATAAACTATAGTCTTAAGAAATAAAGTCAGTCAGAGTTCGACTAAAAAAAGGCCACTATTAGACTTTATGGAAAAAAAAATAGTTTTTTGTATTAAATTTAAAATATTGAATAATTTTCATCATTTTTTTGTTAAAGAATGTATTAAAAAAATTATAGAAGCTTTAAAAACCTTCTTGAACTAAAAACCTTAAATAATAACATCAGACAGAGTTCGACTACGGTCACTATTATATTTCTTTTTGTGACAAAAATCTGTTTTTTGTACAAAATGTAACATTTTCACAATTTCTTTTAGATAAAGAAAATATTTAAACTATAATAGACATTTTTAAAACCTTCGAAATCGATAACCTTTAACGATAACTTAAGACCGAGTTCAACTACGGCTTGGTTTTTATTAAAATTTAGAAAACAAAAATTTTATCTTATTTATTTATAAAATTTCTATAAAATTAGTAAATCATTTTGAATAGTATATTTATATAATTAGTAAATGAAATTATTAAAACCGCTCAATTTGTTCTCATCACGAATCGTATTCTTTTTTTTTTTCTTCAAAATATGATCTCATTCCATGCGACCAAAAAATAAAAAAATAAAAAAAATTACCTGCGCCCATCCAACGTTTCCACCTGCAACTGCGTCGTCATCCTGCATCCTGTGCATCCACCATCCCCACGTCCGACCCGCCTATTGCTAATTTGTTGTGTGTGTGTGTGTGCCTTTTTCGTAGGTCCCAATAATGGTAAATATGCAACCCTAAGCAAACAATGCAAGACATTGGAAGCCAATGACTTTTACTGAAAATCGTCGCCACCCCCCTTCGCAGCAGCAGCTATTGCAGGAGCAACCCCCACGACAGCGGCCCAGCAGCAACAGGTACAACAGCAACAACAACAGCAGCAGCAGCAACAACAACAGGCACAACAACAATTGGGTGGACCACAACCGATATATTGCCATCATCCGCATCAGCATCCACATCCGCATCCACATCAGCATCCTCATTCGCATTCGGCAGCCGCTGTGGCAGCTGCAGTGCAGCATCAGCATGCCATCTACCATCAGCAGCAGCAGCAGCAACAGGCCCAGGCCCAGTATGGGACGTATACGACAGCCGCCCATCATGCACCGCATCACTTGGGCCCGGGACAGAGTCAGATATATCAGCAGATTCCGGCCCATTTGGCGCCACAATTGGCGGCAGCGGCCGCAAACGGTAATCCGCACTCGATCTACCAGCCCCTGGTGGCGGTTAGCCAGGGCTCCATTTATGTCTCCAACTTGGCCACGATGCGCCGGCAGAATAGTCAGGGCGGCCCCCAGATTCCGGCCCATCAGCATCCGCCGCCGAGTCTCCACCAGCAGCAACAGCAACCGCCACCGCCTTCCCAACAGCAGCAGCAATTGCATCAGCTCAAGTCACCGCAACAGCACCAGCAGCAGCTGCAACACCAGCAGCAACAACAGCAACACCAGCAACTGCAACAGCAACAGCAACACCACCAGCAGCAGCAGCAGCAACACCATCAACAACAGCAACAACAGCACCAGCAGCAACAGGAATCGGATGTTATACCCATTAGCACGGCCATGGATAATTCGATTTATGACCGGGACAAGCAGATCTACAAGTGCTCCACACTGCGGCAGGGCGGCAAGTTCGATCCCAAGTACAAGCCCTCAATCCTCAACTGCCCACTGCCGGAAATACCCAAGGATGCCGAGCAGCCCAAGGTGGAGTCCATCTACCAGCAGCAGCAGGCCCAGCATCAGAATTATTCAAAGTAGGTTTTGAAGAAATTTCAGTATAGTTTAGTTTAGTAGTTTATTAGTTAGTTGGTATTATTTTTTACAATTACTTTTAATGAGCTTTGTTAGTTATTAATTTTTATGGCCCAAGGCTTTATATACAGGGCTTTATACAGGCATTATGTAGAACTATAGTTTGTATTAGTTATGATCTAATTTTGTGCACTTTTTTCGTTGTTTTAAAAGCCAAAAAATACTATAAATTCTTTAAATTTATGAATATTGTTCGTTAGTGTCTTGTTTTTTGTTAATTAATCTGAAAATTAACTATTGTATATAAAAATTGTGTAGTTAATCTCTTTAATTAACCTATTTTGTATCAAATTGTTAACTAAAATGCCAAGATTTAAGAAATGAAAACCAGTATATTTTAAAGAATTATTTAAATTTCTTCTATAATCAAACGTGAAATATTTGTTTGTTTTTTTTATTTTTATTTCATTTTTAAGTAAAAAAACACAAGACTATATATATATATATATATATATTTAACATATGTATATGACTGTCTGTTTTATTTTATTTTGAAGAAAATCTTTAAATTTTATCTATAATTATACACAAAATGTATGTTTCTTTTATATTTAATCGGACCTGTATTCTAATGCTTCAAAAAAAGTAAATAATTCTATATTTTGGAATATTTTGTTGCCATGTCCGCTTGTCCGTGTGTCCGTAAAAATCTAAAAAAAAGCCTCAAAATGAAATAATATTGTACATCCATAAGCCTTTTATATTATTTATAATTTGTCTTTTTTTAAACATGTTTCAAACCATCCTTTATATCATTTTAAGGTTATCTTCTAAAAATACTCAAGAATACTCACTCAGACAAGTCTAAACATGAAAAATATTCAACACATAATAAGACTTAACCTTACTTTCCAAATAAAAAAAACTAATTTCTTTAATAAAAGACCTTAAAATGATAGCCCTCCAAACTTTTCGGTTTCTGCCGAAAAACCTTTCCCCAAGTTACTCAAAAAATATTAAATACCTTGCTTGAAACCCCCCTTTAGGACACTGCAGCGTCCGCCGATGAAGTTGCCGCCGCAGATGAAGGCCATACCGCCACCGCGCATCGGCACGCCCACTTCGCCGCCACCGCCAGCCGCCCAGCCACTGGGTGATGCCGGCGGCGGAGGAGGACCTGGTCTGCAGAATGGCGGAGGTGGCACCGGAGGAGTCGGAGGAGGAAACACCAACGAGGACACATCGCTGCCGCCGCCGCCGCTGGAGGCGCAAAATGAGGCAACTGCCAAGGGACGAATGGGCCAGGCGGCCAATGGCAAGGTCCTGCACAATGGAGGAGGCGGTGTCACCGGCGGAGGAGTGACCGGAGGAGGTGGCGGACAAGTGGACGATGACGATGATCTGCCTCCGCCACCGCCAGCGATAACCGACGAGAGTAATTATGCGGTGACGGAGCTGTAAAATGGAATCCAATGGCAAAAAAAAAAAAAAAAATGATATAATGGGGAAATGGAATTGGTCAGGATTTGGGATTGGGTTTTGGGGGGTGTCTTCCTAGAATTCGTGTATGATAGAAATATATAGGCTAGAAATGAATCGGGAATCGGGGGAGCAGAACGATGAGAACGATTAGGAATGGTGGGTTTAAAGTTTGTTGGAGCGGCGAGTGTTCCTCTTCTTGATTTGTTGCATTTAACGTATATCGTAATATCGTAATCGTATCCTAGACCGGAATCCTGCTTTTCGACTTTTTTGTACATACTATATACTACACTATAAACTATATCTTAACTTTAAACAAGGACAACAAGGACACTAACACACGCACACAGTGACCAAAACGACGGATACCAGACAGTAAACAGGACACAGAAACTTGTATTTGTAACATATATCAGCGATCTATTACTTATATGAATATATCTATATATATATATACATATACATATATATATATATATATGTGTGTATATTATGTATCCATTTAGGACACGGTTATTCCTTTTTGATAATAGCATATTTTTACAAATTTTAAAAAACAAAAATTGTCGAAACGAAACAATTTTTTTTAAAACCAAAAAAAAAGTTACCATAACTTATTTATGAAACAACAAACCAAATAAATATATATTAATTGTATGTATACCCAAAAAAAAAAAAACCGAGGAAGAAAAAATAACAGAATGGAACCTAAAAACCTTCAAGCAACCACAAAAAAATTATTTAAAAAAAAATTAATTCGGATCGTAGGCATAAGTTCTAGAATCGAAAATGTAGTAGAAACTTTAGCAAAAAAAAAAAACAGATTTTTTAAGGCATTTAGGTCGAGAGTCAATTTTTTTTATATAAACCGACTAACGGGTCTCTCAATGGGCGTATAAATGGGTGTGGCAGTTTTTTGTTTATTTTTAAATATATGTGATATTTTGAAATTCCTTCATTCCAACATGGTGTTTCCAAGTAATAATATTCCATTTAGTTTCTTATATAAAATAGCAACACAAAATAAAACATTTTATTTTTAAAAAATATTTAATCATTTGTTAAAACGCACAAATAAATTAAGAAACTACAACTAAGTCATTTACATAACCTAGATTTTGTTTAATATTTTTAATATATGGGTTTGAGTTCCTTGTCGTGTAAAGAAAATACACCAAAACTTAATTTTAAGTTAAAAAAAAAATATAATCCAAAAATTAGACTAAATATTTATAATTATTTATGATTATAATATAATTATTATTAATTTTTAACTGCCACATAGCCATTTAGAGAAGAAGACCGTTTTAGAGCTCGACTCTGTCCTGGATTTTGGGTTGTGCTGTGGAGGATTCCTCGGGGAATCGTCCGGGACTGGCGGGTTAAATCGATATTTAGGGACAGACGGATTTGAGCCTGCGATTTTATTGTGTATTAACCTAAGCTTAACATGGAATGCATTTATTAAAAATAAACTAGCACATATGCATATATAGTATATACATAAATAAATAAAAAGAAATGGAAACAAATATATATATAGAACAGACATTCAAAAGACAAGGACACTGATATAGAAAGTATATATATATTATATATAGTATATATATTTAGAGGGCTAACTGTATATTTAGTAGCTAAAACAAAAGGCCATCGAGCACATACAATATAGTAACCAAATAACCAAATAGATGAGAGAATTAAACATTTGACTTGGCATGGAACCGATAGCAATATTAAAAGACGATACAAAGTACTGCCCCCCCCCTTCCCCCCACACGAGGTGAGGAATTCCTGAAGTGAAGGAGGAGGAATTCCGGAACAAATCAGCGGAGACCAGAGGCCAAAACACACACAATATACATGGATGAGGCCAATCAACTAATTAAATCCAAAAAACACTGCCCAAAAAAAATACAACAACACACAAGAAATATATATGCAAGCCACACAGCGAAAAAAAACGTACTCAAAAATATATATACAGATTTAGCTATATATATACAAAATATATATATATATATATATATATATAGAAACGAACCCTAAATATATATATGGCACATTAAAACGATCAATTGTAAGATATTAAACAATCGAGTACTCAAATCGAAATTAAACTCAATAATCTTAATTAAAAAAAGGAAGCGGGAAATTTTAAATAAAAAAAAAAAGTAAATATGTATAGATTGTGTAAAAACAAACTGAACAAACTAATCAAGTTTTTTATTCGCTTATTATACAATTACAAAAATACAATATAATGTTATACAAATAAAAACTGACAAAAAAATTAAAGCTCTTCTCAATAAAAAAAAGGGGGTAAAACAATTAGAAAAAAACCTGCAATAAAACCCAACCCTTTAAGGGTTTCCAAATCAACAAAAAAAAAAATTGGCAAAAAAAATAATTAAATATTCTCACAAGGAATCGAACCCCCCTCTTTAATATTGAAGAGTTTTCTTTCAGAGAATTTTCGAGCTTAGATCGAAAATAAAACTCTGGTTACACATAAAAAAATAACATTATAAATATATAAAAAATAAATACAACACAATTAGCTCGTAAATATATTTCTGTGTTAAATGTTGTCATCGTACGCGTTGTAGTTATTAAAAAAAAAAAAAAACTTAAAAACACAAAAAACCGAAAATGATAAAAACTCTAACGAACGAAATTCGCAAACAATTTTTTCGAAAAACGCTCAACGGTAGCAGCAATAAGGCAAAAAAAAACAGATCAAGTTGTACAACATATATATATATATATTAAAACAAAAATATATATATATAATTAAATAGTAATATGCATACAATATAGTTAAAGAAAATGTAAAGAAAAAAAAACAAGAAAAAGAGGCAAAAAAATCGAAACGCTTAGTGGCATATTAAACAAGTAATTCTAATAAATCATTAAAAAAAAAATTTGAAAATTCTTGTAAGAAATACGAAATGCTAAAAAAAAAACAGAAACCCGAAGAAAATTAAGAAATAAGTAAGTGTGTGTTCCAGAAAACACTTTCGCCCCCGGTCGAAATTTTTTGGGAAAAACAACAAAACAGTATTCTGGAATGAAAAATATTTTATGCCCTCATATACGGAATATCCCAAGATTCCATGAAACAGAGAGTGGTGGAAAATAATTCTTTCAAAAGCAGATAGCGAAAAAGTAAAAAAACGCTAAAAAAAACACAAACCAACAAAATATTAAATAAAAATAAAATAAAAGTATAAAATTTAATTGCATTAGTTAGATGGAGAAAAGTTGTTTTTTTTCTTAAAGTGGGAAAATAGTGAAAGGTGGGTCTATAAACCAGAGGAGCACGGCTATACATAGAAACAACCATCTCTTTCTAAATTATTTCACATTTTATTATTTTTTTTTATCATAATTTGTGCAGTTTTTTTTTTTGTTTTCTTATTACAGCAGCAGTATAATAAATATATACCTTTTTTTTTTAATTATTTAATTTAATATTTATATATTTTTGTTTTTTTTTTCTTTTTTTTTTTTAGGTTTATCTTAGCTTCTAAAAAATTAGAATAATGCAATTTATTGCTTTGCACAATTGAACATTGAACAATTGCTTAAAATATGTGTTTATATATATATATATATATATATATCTTTCTCAAAGGTACTTGCATTCTGAACAAATAAATACATAAGAGATAAAATATAATAATAAAATATTATTTAAAAATAATAATATATATAGATAAATATACATCTGTAAATTGGATTTTGGGGATTTTTTCAAGCATTTTCTTTCTTTTGGGGCTCAGAGACAACAACAACAATAAAATAATATGGTATATAAGGTATTAAGGTATGTAATGTATACAAGGTAAATTAATAAAATATAATATGGAGATATATATGCATTAAGATCATCATCATGGGCAATAAAAATATAGGTGTATATATATATATAAATACGTAAAAGCAATTAAATTGGATTTTTTATGGTCATCTTTAGTTCTTTGGAATTCTTAATTTTTTTTTTAAGGGAAAGTTTTTTTTTAAATGAAGCCTTTTTCTTTTTTTTAGCTAAGCCTATTACATCTGTTTAATTTTTTTTAATATCAGCATTGTTGTTATTTTTTTGATATTTAATTTAGTATTTTTTTTTAAAGACTGCTTCCTATATATGTTACCTAAGGCCTCTCCCGCTTTTGAAATCCATTGCTGTGGTGGTGGTGTGCCTTTGCTCTAAAAAAAGGTTCCTAATTGATTCTTTTTTTTGTTTATAGACTTGAATTAGAATTATTGTTAATTGCACTGTTAGCTGGCACCAGTTCCGGGACATTCGAGGATGCTCCACTGCTCTGGCTAACCGATCGAGCGTGATCCACATGGTTTTGCGTGGGCGGTGGAGCACCTTCGACTGCCGTGGCATCCGCCAGTTCTGTTGGATTGGTTGTGGTGCTGGTGGTGGTCTGCTCCACCTCGGGCTCCACCTTGGGAAAGACGGGTGGCGTGGTTGGCGCACCCACGGGCGTCTGAACCATGGGAGTGGGTGGCGATCGATTCGCCGGCAACTGATGAGCAGTGGCACCGGTCATTTGCATGTGGTATCTTAAAGGATCCATTAGTTAGATTTCATTTTTTAAATAAAATATTAACAAATCTTACTTGTAAATGTTCTCGGTGCTCTCGACCACGCCCTGGGTAAGATTGAGGCTGCGTCCCTTGATGCCAGACTCTTTGGCGGGCGGTGACCACCAGTTGAAGACCCTGCCCACCACGGGCACATGCCGTAGGATGCCCTCCTGCCAGAGCTTCTCCTCCGATTCACGTTGCAAGTCTGCAGTTACTGCCTCAATGCCCTGCAATTAAAAAAAATTATATAATCGCTTGGGATGACAACTACGAATGATTATACCTTCTTGACAATCTCCGACATGGTGTCCAATACCCTGGAGTTCTCCTGCACACTCTTGCCGACCGTAACCACCAGATCTAGGAGCTCCTCCACCTCCGTCTCGTGGGTAACCATGCCGAAGCGTACACAAATCAGTCCATCAGTGCCCTCGCCCAAGGAAAAGGCATTGTCCGTGGACTTTAGGGCCTCCACCAGATCGATGTTGAGCTTATTCAACTCGGTTTTGGCCTGATCGGTTAGTAGGGATTCCCAACCCTCCGGTACGAACCGGACACCGCCCATGCCGGCCCATTCGGGCAAGGGGACGAGTCGCAGGACATCACTGCGCTCCACCAGATGGATGAACCGTGCCTTGTGCTTGATGGTGGCGCGTAGGATGTCCACGTGCGCCTCCAGGCTCTGGGCAAAGCTCTCCAGGTTCTCAGAGCTGGGTGGCTGCTCCCCCAGGCCCAGTTCCAACGGGCAGTAGCGGATGCAACTGCCATGCGTTGGATGTTCAATGACCTCAAAATCGAACTGGAAAGGAAGAGCAGTTGGAGGATCTAGACGACCGAACACATCAAGTAGTAGTATCTACTCACATTGGGACAATCGCGTTGCAAGATCTGGCCTAGCCAGGAGTTGAGGCGATCGAAGTAGGAAGCATTGTTGACCTTTTCCAGTGGCTTCAGGCCATCCACCACATCGCGATCGGCAACGGCGGTGGCAACAGAGGAGGAGCCACTGCACCCCAGTGGAATGGTGGTGCTGCCATCGAACTGATAGGCAACCACGGGAGCGGCGGCATCGAACAGGGCCTGGATATCAAAGGGACTCTGGATGATGTCCGACAGCGAGGCGCCGGTTTGGGCGCCCGGCGTGTGACTCAACACCCGGATGCCCTCGCACTTGGACGCGATCTCGAACAGAATGCTGCACGTCTGGAAGGCGACATGCAGTCGCTCGGCAATCGCCTTTCGTCCCAGCGCCTGCAGGCTCGTCCACAGGGACAGCGAGTTCAAGCGCCTGGAAAGAATCGGATCGGATTCGAAGGCACTCAGTGCGCTATTCTGGAGCGGACGGTGCAGCAGGACGATGGGCAGACTGGGCACACCCAGCCAGCTGCCCAAATTCAGGGCCATCGAGTGCAGGACATCCTCCACATGTCCCGGATACTGGGCGCAGACCAGAGCGGCCAGGCCGTGTCCACTGGCATGGAGCCACATGTTGTTCGCCTTGCACACATCCCGCAGCCGGATCAGATTATCGATGTAGCCGCAGAGCGAGGCCCCAATGTCGGCTACCACCAGGAGCGGTGTCCTATTGGCCGCCACATCCATCTGGATCTGCTTCTGCAGCAGTCCAATGTCCATCGTCCCGAACTGACTGTTTTCCGGTATGATCTTAATGGCATCCAGTGGAATGCCCAACTGCCGGCAGGCATACTGCAGCCTCACGGGCGTCGTATTCTCCGATATATAGAACGTGGGCTGGGCCAGGGCCGGTATACCGCCCTCCAGATATCCCGGACACCTTGCCACAATCGCCAGTCGTACTGTCCTCAGGACCGCATCTGCGTTGTCGGCGTGAAAGCTACTGGCGGGACTATTGAAGTGAAACAACGTTCCCAGCCATCGGGTGGCATCACCCGAGATGCTATTCGTCACCCGGAGCAGCTGTTGGCGATCCAAGTGGGACAGATAGGCCACGATGCTGTGCGATATCAGCGCCAGGTGGGAGACATCGTCCAGAGCGGGCAGTGGAAATTCAGGATCATCATCGCTGTCCGTATACGAGACGAGTTGTTCCAGCGACTTGAGGATATTCGAGGGTACTCGGTTCTCGGCCGGCAGTAAGTAGTCAACCGATTCCTTCTCATGGTTCTCCTTGCTGTCCGTCGAGGGGCTACCATCCTCCGGGGTCGATGATATCTTAACGTTCTCCAAACGTTGCAAAACCTGCGATGATCGTAATTCCAATTCAGCCAAGCCGGAACGTATCTACAAAATTTTTGTGAGAAAATAATACGATATTAGTTGAGATTTCAATGGAAACTAGATGATATGGGGGTTCTTTCAAGGCCGGAATAACGATAAATCTTTAAAACTTGAAGGTATGATAGCCACATAAATAATAATTCTGAATCATAAACACGATAACTGGAACAAAAATCCAAGAAATTCCTATATTTCAGTGTTCAAGATAAGGGTTTAGTTATGGGTTTGGTTTCTTTACGACTTCCCAGATGGTTTCTAGACTAGGAAGAGGTCTATAAGAACTCTTTAGAGCTTTGGAGGAGGGTGTAACTAACTAGAACCTGAAATTAGACTAGAATTTCATAATATTATAAGCTATTTTAGTTCCTAAACCTTGTAGGCTAGTTTATAATAATAAAATATAGTAATCTATGACATTTCAGACTTTAAAAACAATATTTAAGATAAAAACTAAACCAAAAACCTGCAGACTAGTGTACGTAAAACTTTCAACTAATTTTGAATCCTCCAGTAACCCTGATAGTGGCTTCCTATCCTACATATCCTGCGAGTCTCCACCCGATGAAAACCAGGTTCCATGTTGTCTAGTGTAGCCCCACAATGTAAACAACCAGACCCACAATGTTGCAGAGAAGTTGACGTGTCTTCCGTCGTCGTCAGCAAAAAAAAAGAACACAGCTCCAAGCTCGGAAGGTAGAAAAGAAGAGAGGAAGAGGGCAGAGAAAAGGCAGAAAAACACTCACACTGGAGGCGGCGATTTCGGCTACGGGAGGCGTAGATGGGACCGGATCCGGCGTTATGTCCACAGCAGGATTCTGGCCGGGATCGTCGTCCGATCTGCCAGCCGCTGACATGGTTCTAATGTGCGATCCAATCCACTTATCGCCACCGAATCGTATCGTTTGCGAGCGCTATGCGAGCGATGTGGAAAATAATTGTTTTCGTACTCGCACCTTGTACGAGTGTGCGTGCGTGTTTGTACACGTATGTGTGTGTTTGCGAGCGAAGAGCGCAATGGTATGTGTGCGTGTGATGTGGAATGGTGTGACCGTTGCACACGAGGCGATAAAATATCGCAACAGCTGTGCAGTTTAAGCGGTTAGTTCTTTTATTTCGGAACTAGTTTTTTTTTAAATAAATATAAAATATTATAAATTGTAGAATAAATGAATTTAATTCATAAAAACAGTCATACATAATTTGATAATAAAATGCTAATGTAAAAAGTTAAAAATATTAACTACTAGAGTGACAAATACTGCTAAATTAAATTTAAAATTTATAATTTATTATTAAAACCATTATTATTATTATTTTATTTAGTTTTAAAAATTTTCTAAAAAGTTTTAATTTTCTACCAGCTCTTTCAGCGAACTAGTTCCGAACAAAATTCTGATTAGAATCCTTGCCCATCCTTAACGGTATTGCCAGTGCCATCTCTAATTCAAGCATTGGCGGGCATTTGAATTTTTGCTACTTGCCACCAAAAGAAAGTTGATATTAAATGGTGTTTTGGCCGTCTGCCAGAATGCCAAACAAGCCGCCTAATGTGAATTTGAAGTTGGCCAACATATGTTGTCATGTCTGTACTAAATAAAGTGCAACTTTTCGCCGGATTATGCGCGACTGGGTAGAACACGAAATGACTTTTTTCAGTTATATTGCAGTGGCAACTGTTTCTGTTTCAGCAACGGCATCTGTATAAGTGTGTGCGATAATAAACACTGCAAAAAAATACTAAAAATATATTCCATATAAAATAAATGAAATTATAAGAAAAGCTAGGTTAGGATAATAGCAATTTTTATTAATAAATTAATAACCTTGTTTTATTTTTAATTTTAATTCTTATTTAAAAAGTCTAAATACAAGATTTAATATTTAATTTCTCTCAGTGCACATGTGTTTGCCTGCAGCTTTTCACTTTATTCATGCATAAACTTGCCTGAGAAAGTTTCGCGTGGCAAAAAGTTGCCATGGGATTTGCTTGGGTTGTACCACCCCCTCTCCCTCTCCCCATTCACCTTGCACCCCACCCCGCCCCATTCCACCCCCCCTTTTTTGGACACATGCAAATAACATATCGATGCTGCTTTTTCAAATAAACCGAACCGAACCAAACCAAACTGACACTGAACTCGTTCCCCCCCTCCCAATCGCCCCTTCTGCCTGGTAGTACTTGCCACCTACCCCCAGTGGCAGTTGCCACGCCCCTTTTTGTGGCTTTCCGCCTGTCGCCTGTTGTCCTAGAGGGGATTTAGTGGCATTGCCGGAACGTGCTGCTGCACATGCATCAATTTGGGGTGCCACCGCCACAGCTGACTCTCTGCTCTGTTCTGGAGGGGTTAACCCCCTGATTGCAGTATCCCACACGCACATTAACCCACCACATGTCCCTATATGTATGGATATTTTCTTCTATTTTTTTGTTCAATGAAATATTTTTAAATATATTAATTTTATATAAACATTTTTAATTTTAATGGGTTAAGATATGAAAAATAATAATGTAGTTGGAAGTAAAAATTATATGCGGGCTTGAATAAATCATAACTCGTACACAATGTTGCCCTGCATTTGATTTCTGTTGATTAAAAAGCCGCAAAATTAAATTTTATACCATAAATCGTAGGCCCCCCTTCTCTCCAGTCTCCTCACCGCCCCCTCTCCCTACAATTATAGGCCATAATTTATATAAAATTTGTTTGCAATTTGGCCTGCAAATAATTGCAAAATACTGAGGAGGAGAATTTTCATCAATTTTCTTGACCCTTTTTTATTTATTTTACCTTAAAACTTAAATTAAGTAAATTAATCTATTTTAAATATAAATTGGTTAAAGTTTTTAGTGGGAAAAGTTTATGTAATTTATTTTCTGTATGAGCTTGTTAAAAATTTGTTGTTGAATAGCCCCAAACTTTTGCATTAATTTTCACAACATAATTTATTTATTTTAATTTTTATACCCATCCCCCTCACCGCACCCTCGTCTGCTACTTCATTTTGATTACATAAATTGCGTATACGCAGTGTGGTGTGTGCTGGTGTGTGGCCTCTTAGGTGTAACATGTGTGCCAAGGTGGAAAAAAAAAGGATTTTCAAAAAAAAAAAAAAAGGTGAATACCAACCCAAGGCCAAAACACTTGACTAGAAAGAGACGGCACCACAGACAGTCAGACATGAATGGACGTTTGGGGGGCTCTGGTTAGACTGAGGTGTGTGTGCTGTGGCAAGGTGTGCTGTGGCAGGTGCGTGTGAACCGCCGAGAGGTGCAAAGTAGTTGCCACTTAAAAGGCGCACAAAAAACAAAACCAAAAACAAAAAAGAGAGAAGCTTCAAACAAACAGCAGCCAAAAAGCTTTGAAGGGTTCTTCTCTCTCTCTCTTTCTCTCACTCTCTAGCATGTCATTCTTCACACCAAATGCCAAATGGCTAGAAGGAGGCGTGGCAGTGGGGCAGCGTGGGGGCGACTAGATATGAGCCTGGTATGTTGCTTTGGGCCATTGACAGTAAATCTGTTCAAGTTGACTTGCCAGAAAGTATGTATGAAAGAAACAACAAAAAAAATATCAGAAAAATATGCATATAAAAAATGGTGAAAAAAAGAAAAATCAGAGCATGCACAAACATGCTAGAAATAAGAACCTTAGTTGACAGACATCCGTCGAAAGAGATATGCCAACTACCAGACACAAATGCAAAAAAATGCGCAAAATTCAACAGAAATATGCAAATTATTTTGTATTTATTTTCCACAGAAAGGGATGCAGATTTTATTGATTTGATAAAGATAAAAAACGAAGAGATACACAGAGCACAATTTCTGACCAATTATTAATAAAAAAAAAAACAGGAAACAATATTATTAAACAAAATATTTTTTTCAATTTTTAGGTTTTCTTAAGTGCGACCTATGAGAAGCGAGGAGGAGGGCAATAATTTTTCAAAAATTAAATCAAACTTAAATTGTTTCCTTTTTTCATATTTGGTAAAATAATATTTTATACCAAGCTTTTCAAGGACTTTCTTTTGAAATTAAAAATAAAGACAGAAAACTCTAATATGGCCCAGGACTCTAATTTGACTCTAATGCATGGGGGCCCAGATCAACCCAGGTTGAAGGCTAATTCTTTGCCAATTCTTATCCGATTCCTGAGAGGGATACCTTAAACGATTTGTGGATCGATTCTCCATCGATCTGCATCAAAATCTAGCAATAAAATATTTTTCAGATTTTTTGTCAAATTTTCTAGGGGGTCCCCTGCAAAATTCTGGAAAGTGCATGGGGGCCTAGAATGACCCAGGTCGAAGGCTATATCTTTGCCAATTCTTATCCGATTCTTAAGAGGGATAGCTTAAACGATTTGTGGATCGATTCTCCATCGATCTGCATAAAAATCTAGCAATAAAATATTTTTCAGATTTTTTGTCAAATTTTCTAGGGGGTCCCCTTCAAAATTCTGAAAAGTGCATGGGGGCCCAGATTAACCCAGGTCGAAGGCTATATCTTTGCCAATTCTTATCCGATTCCTGAGAGGGATACCTTATACGATTTGTGGATCGATTCTCCATCGATCTGCATTAAATTCTAGCAATAAAATATTTTTCAGATTTTTTGTCAAATTTTCTAGGGGGTCCCCTTCAAAATTCTGAAAAGTGCATGGGGGCCCAGATTAACCCAGGTCGAAGGCTATATCTTTGCCAATTCTTATCCGATTCCTGAGAGGGATACCTTAAACGATTTGTGGATCGATTCTCCATCGATCTGCATCAAAATCTAGCAATAAAATATTTTTCAGATTTTTTGTCAAATTTTCTAGGGGGTCCCCTTCAAAATTCTGAAAAGTGCATGGGGGCCCAGATTAACCCAGGTCGAAGGCTATATCTTTGCCAATTCTTATCCGATTCCTGAGAGGGATACCTTAAACGATTTGTGGATCGATTCTCCATCGATCTGCATCAAAATCTAGCAATAAAATATTTTTCAGATTTTTTGTCAAATTTTCTAGGGGGTCCCCTTCAAAATTCTGAAAAGTGCATGGGGGCCCAGATTAACCCAGGTCGAAGGCTATATCTTTGCCAATTCTTATCCGATTCTTAAGAGGGATAGCTTAAACGATTTGTGGATCGATTCTCCATCGATCTGCATCAAAATCTAGCAATAAAATATTTTTCACATTTTTTGTCAAATTTTCTAGGGGGTCCCCTTCAAAATTCTGAAAAGTGCATGGGGGCCCAGATTAACCCAGGTCGAAGGCTATATCTTTACCAATTCTTATCCGATTCCTGAGAGGGATACCTTAAACGATTTGTGGATCGATTCTCCATCGATCTGCATCAAAATCTAGCAATAAAATATTTTTCAGATTTTTTGTCAAATTTTCTAGGGGGTCCCCTTCAAAATTCTGAAAAGTGCATGGGGGCCCAGATTAACCCAGGTCGAAGGCTATATCTTTGCCAATTCTTATCCGATTCTTAAGAGGGATAGCTTAAACGATTTGTGGATCGATTCTCCATCGATCTGCATCAAAATCTAGCAATAAAATATTTTTCAGATTTTTTGTCAAATTTTCTAGGGGGTCCCCTTCAAAATTCTGAAAAGTGCATGGGGGCCCAGATTAACCCAGGTCGAAGGCTATATCTTTGCCAATTCTTATCCGATTCCTGAGAGGGATACCTTAAACGATTTGTGGATCGATTCTCCATCGATCTGCATCAAAATCTAGCAATAAAATATTTTTCAGATTTTTTGTCAAATTTTCTAGGGGGTCCCCTTCAAAATTCTGAAAAGTGCATGGGGGCCCAGATTAACCCAGGTCGAAGGCTATATCCTTGCCAATTCTTATCCGATTCCTGAGAGGGATAGCTTAAACGATTTGTGGATCGATTCTCCATCGACCTGCATCAAAATCTAGCAATAAAATATTTTTCAGATTTTTTGTCAAATTTTCCAGGGGGTCCCCTTCAAAATTCTGGAAAGTGCATTGGGCCTAGAATGACCCAGGTCGAAG